GTCCTCGAACTGTGCAATCAGCTCGGATCGCTCTTCAGGCGTCTCACCCACGTAGGTCACGCCTGGCAGCGGCGCGCCGCGCCCGTCGCTCGCCTCGATATCAAGCAGCGCGAAGCCAGGCTCGCGCAGAGCAGCGCAAGCCGCGGCACAGAGCGATGCGTGGGCGATGGGCATTGCGCTCCTAGAATTAAATGGCTCGGTAGTGATCCATCGCCCGCAAAGCTAGTGCTGCTGCACCATTCCAGCGTGCCCGATCCCGACCGAGGGCTGCACGAGGTGGTCATCCATGACGACAGCACGACAGAGCGGCAAGAGCGAGACAACAAGGAGGCGGGGGCGTCTTCGGCTGCTGAGGTTACGCAGACCGACTGCAGCAAGAGGCTTTGAGGGAGCTTACACACTGACGGCGTTGTCGAGCGTGTGTGTATTTGTGTGCGGGGTTGATGTGTGTGGGCTTGGTAACGTGTGGTTATAATCTGTTCACCATAGCCTCCGGGGAAAAGATACAACCATGGAAGTCGACGCTGTTCACAAAAGCACAAGATGTCCAGTCCGAGCTGGCTGTTCTTCACCTTACTACATACATACATACATCGACTGTCTGTATCCGTGTGTGTGCGAGAATAGCTCCGCCGTTCATGGAGGCAACCGATGCGAGTCGACTGGTGTGAACAAAAACTTGTTCGTAGCTCGTATATAGAATATAGCTGTGACACCCCCTCGTCCGAGTTTGAGAGCTCGCGGGCTCGCGGCTTTTTATCCTATAGCGCGGCCTAAACGGGCGGGGACACACGTCCCTAAATCCCATCTCGTCTCAGAGTTTGACCGTTTTCTTTATTTATTTAAGAGCCGTAGGACTGGAGGGCTATTCGTATTCGTACCCATCTCTCTATATCTGCTTGTACTATCTTGCCACAAAGGCCAGAGCCTGGCCTTTTCGTTTATGGATTATTGCTAGAGGCCCCAGTGCCGCACGCAACACTTCACATCACTCGCCCAGCAAGCTATAGCTAAAGGCGACGGCGACTGCTGTGATCGCTATCACCAAGACGGCAACACCCGCGGTCGGCAGTGCGACATCAGATGTGCTCGCGGTCCTAGCGGTGGCGCCGCCACCTGAAGACAGGCTCTTTCGGCACCGCCTGAACTCGGTCTTTGAGTGGTGGCCGATGACCAGGCCAAAGAGACGGCTCGTGAAAGCGCCGGAGATACGCTCGAATCGGAGCCGACCTTCGTACCAGGCCTCAAGCACTTGCCCATGCGCGTAGCCAGGCGCCCATTCGTACTCGATCTGAACCGCGTTGCAGCCGCCAGCCCGCAGCCGCTCCTCTGCCGCGTGCACCAGCGCACAAGCGATGCCCTTGCGACGCATGGCGGGCGCGACCACCAGCAGGCCCCAGTGCCCGCACCCAGCGGGCGTCCACATCGGCTGCAGCGTGGAAGATATGCAGCCAGCCACGCGGCCGTCCACCACGCACACGTGCAGCACGCGGTTTGCTCTGGGGTCGTCCCCGCGAGCTAGCCGAGCTGCGGCCTCGGCAGGAGAGAGGCGTGCTGCGAGGCCGACGAGCGCCTCGCAAAGTCCTGTGTGGGCGGACGTGCCGATGAACACGGTGTATTCAGGTTTCGGCATGATCCTGCGATTCTCGGTGTCCACCGCTCAGACAGCGCTCAACAGTTCGCCAGCCAGCGCGTCTCAGCACTCGAGGCGTCGTGAGGCGGGTCTTCACACGGCCTTGACACTTGAGCACTGTGGGATACAGTCTGTTGCGGGCATTAAGAAAACAGGATCCCCCGGCACGCCGCCGTTTCTAAGCCTTTCCACCCACCCCACCCACCCCACGCCGTGGTTTCTTAGCTTCGGCCGGCACCCCAGGTCAGCCGGGACGTAGGAACTTTTAGGTAAAATGACAATAAGCGTCAGCAGTCCTCCTCCGGGAATGTACGTAAGAGCTACATACACTGATAAGGAAGCGCTGGACACACCTCCATCCACACCGCCCAGAACACCGCAGACTTGGGCAAAATGACAAGTGCGGGGCGCGCCGCAGGCGAAGAGAAAATTTGAGCGGGGCTCCTGTTCACACTCGTGTGTGGGCCCTTTCTTGGGGCCGCGCCTGCGGCGCGCCGTGGTTTCTTAGATTTTTGCGGAAATCGCTTGGTAGGGTTTCTTAATGGTAAGGTTTCTTAATGCCCGCAACAGACTGTAGGGTGGATTCCGCGTGGTACGGGACCCCTCGATCGTCTCGCCCTCCCTCGCTGGTGTGTTCATTGGGGGGGGGGTCATAACAAACACGGTGCAGGATCGAGGTGCACGCTGCCAAAGCAGTGTCGTCCCCCCTCCCTCCCTCTCCATCGTCTCACTCACTGGGAAACGTCGGCGGTGATGGCGGTGTGACCGATCGAGCTACAAGAGGTGCTCGTTCAGCATGACCCGGGCGCTACAGCGCAGTACCCTCCTTCCAGGGCCTCAGGTCGCACGCGGCTCCTCCCATCACCTTCCGGGTTTGCGTGGAGTCGAACCACTCCGGGATGGGCAAGCCCATTATTTCGAGTTGCGTTTCCCTACCACCTAGAAGCCATCTGATTAATTGTCCAAATTCCTGTTGTGCAAGAGCGGAGAGGGCTCGGACGGGGCGCGTGGCGGGAGAGGGGAGGGAATGGGCGAGGGGGGGGGGGGGGGGGGCTCACCCCTGCAAAAAGGATCAATTAATAATAATAATGAAAAAATTTTGCTCGGCCGTTCATAAAACCCCTCTCCATCTGGAGGAAACGGGTCAACCCCCTGGGGACCAAAACCCGTTCCCATTTTCGGAACCAAAAATGTCCACCTTTAGCTCTAGGAGCCAACCCTCCCCTTTGGTTTTTCCCCCAAACCATTCGGCCAACTTTAATTTTTACCGAAAGCCAAAGTTGCGTTTACCCTTCGGGCAAATTCCACGAAAAAACCCAAAAAAGGGCGTTCCCGGCCCCCCCCCCGGAAAACCATTCATAAAGGGGCCGGGGCCCCCCCCCCCCCCCCCAAAGGAGGTTGGGCTGCGGCGGAATCCCAAGGGGCAGTAGCACTTCGGGGGGATTCCCCAAGCTCGGTCCCTGGGGTCCCACCTC